TATTATGCCACTTTGGGTGTTCTTGTTCAAACTTCTTGTGTAGGTACTCCACAACAAAACGGTCGGGTAGAACGAAAACATAGACACATATTAAATGTCGCCCGCTCCCTTATGTTTCAAGCTCACTTACCTATTGAATTCTGGGGGGAATGTGTTCGTACTGCTGTTTATTTAATTAACCGTACTCCCAACAAACTACTTGGTGGTAAGTCTCCATTTGAAAATCTAAATCACAAAGCACCAGATCTTAGTCATCTTCGAATTTTTGGATGTCTATGTTTTTTACGACTCAGGACTTCCAACAAATTTTTTCCTCGAAGCACCAAGTGCATGTTTGTTGGGTACCCCTCCGGCACAAAAGGTTGGCGTGTGTATGACCTTGATACTCATCGTTTCTTTCACACTCGGGACATTGCTTTTGACGAGAGCACGTTCCCGTTTGCCACACATCACACACCGGCCGAACCCTCTACCTCCACTCCACATGCCGACTTTCCCGAATTATCCCTGCCCGCCCCACTTCCGGCTTCCGTCGTTGACGACCAGCCTGTCCAGCCGGCAGTTGCCACCGAGCAGCCCACCGACGTCCAGCCCCACCCCCATACAGCTGCCGTCCCTCCGCTTCGTCCTCAACGGCAGCGTCGTCAGCCATCCCATCTTAGTGATTACATCGTCAATTCTGTTAAAGAATATCCCACATCGGAACTTGAAGAGAAAATAAACCGGTATATAAGCCCTTGAGTTGAACTAACTAATCGATTGGATTCAATCTTTTAATGTGGTTCAACCCAAGTGTCTTATTGCCTAATCCAGTTGTCCATACCCATCCTAAATTCTATCATGGTATTGGAGCCAGTTTTAGCCCACCTCGTTTGTCAAGGTGTCCGTCTAGACGTTCATTCCTAGCGGCCCGTTAGTCTTTAGCCCAGTTGTCCATATGGAGGTTGTACCCAACGGCCTGTGGCCTGTTTAACACGATTGCTCGTCTGGAATCCATACCCAGCGGCTCGTGGTCCTTTAGGTGTTGGCGCTCAAAAAAAAATCAAGAGGATGGGAGTCCATTTGCAAGTGGTCAACCGG